GTGTGTGTGTGTGTGTGTGTGTGTGTGTTACCTCACCAGATCTGAAGTTTGATTTTCTTTCCCTCAAAATCGATCGTCCTGATTTTAAAATCGATTCCTGAAAGACACAGAGATGTCAGAAGGTCACATGATGTTTCAGCTCAGTGGCGCCCCCTGTGTACAGAGTCACACTAAAGATGTGGGGGGGGGGGGGGTTTGTGCCTCGCTGGAAGACACTTGATGATGGGAGAGTAAATCTTCACACGTTAGCTCCACCCTGAGCGTGTCTCTGCAGGAGAAACAGGAAGTCAAAATATTTTTAACAAATGACTTCCTGCTGCATAGAGAAAAGCTGTTTCCTCCCTCACTCCTCCCTCTGTCTTCTCCTTCTCCTCCCTCTGTCTCCTCCTCTGTCAGACGCTGACGACCTCATCAGGTCCAACATCTTCATGATTCTAACGTCTCTGACTTCCTCTTGTTCACGTTTCATTTCTTCTGTTCAATGCGAGACAAAGATGACGTCACAGGTTCAAGCTGTTTATCATCACCACCTAAATCAGTTACTGTCTCAGTTTACTGTCTCAGTAACAGATCAGGATGTGCGCGGGGCAGCGGCAGCGAGTTGAAGGTCCCGACAGTCGTGGTCGATAAGTCACGGAGACGTCATCACTCCGTCACGACGCTCTGACAGCTTCGGCCCTGACGAGAGACTTCCTGAAAGGAAACACGACGTCATGGTGACAGAAGCTCAGGTTTCCTGTCTGAGTGGGCGGCGGCTGACGCCAGGTCACGGTGCCCATGTCTCCACCCACAGGAGGAATCAGACCGCCTCAGAGGAAATGACCTCACAGCTCTACAGGAAATCACCACTTCACTGCTGCGTTCACTTCACGAGTTTTAATACGAACAGTTTTCACTCGGCTGTTGTTTTAGAAGTGAAGAGAAGAAGTGAAGAGAAGAAGAAGAGTTTGTTTCTGTATGAACGCTCTGGTCACAGTTTCTCTCATCATGTTTGTTCACGTTTGACATTGAAACTCTTGGAAGTCAGAATATCCAACATCTGAGTTTTCTGGAACGCAGCATCAGTTCAGGATAAATGCTAACATGCTAACATCAACTGCACACACACAGTGTCCTCACAACTATGATGTCAAATTCAAACTGGTCCTCGCAAAGACAGAAGTACACACACACACACACACGCTCAGAGGTCAGCTGACCCCGCCTCCTGCTGACAGAGCGTCCTCTGTCCTCAGAGACAGAAGATGTGGGAGCTCGTTTAACTTCACACAATGTGACATGTCACTGTGATGTCACTGCAGGTCTGACTCCGCCCACCCTGACACAGGTCAGGATCCAGATGGACCAACATGGCCGACCATCAGTTAACGAACCTGAAGCAGGTCTCCTCACAGGTCCTCACTGAGATAGTAACTCAGCCCCTCACACACACACACACACACACAGGCAGCACAGTGACAGTGTTGAGAGACGAAGACGATCTCACTTCCTGTTTCCACCAGAGAGACGGAGGAGCTGCACACAGGAAGCCCTCTGTGTGTGTGTGTGTGTGTGTGTGTGTGTGTGTGTGTGTGTGTGTGTGTGTGTGTGTGTGTGTGTGTACCTGTACGTGGATCAGTGTGAGGACATGGTGAAAACATGTGACCCACAGAGGACATGAAGACGATCAGTGACTGTGTGTGAAGAAGATTGTGGTGATGATGTCATTAGCAGGCAGAGTCTGTGCCGTAGTGATCGTGAAGTGGAGCTGTGGTATCAAGATCCCGCCCATACACGCTGTCAACCAATCAGGAGTCAGTCTCAGCTGTCAATCATGACGTCTCTGCCTGTTTTCATATCATCAAAGGACTGATTCAAACTGATCAAAGACACAAACATCTCACTGAACTTCTACTTTGATTTTATTAGTCTGGTCCACGTCCCATCTGCCAACATGGAGGAGGAGGGGTTTATGACTTACAGACTGCAGCCAGACACCAGGGGGCGATCCAGATGTTTTGGCTTCACCTCTGGGAGCCGCCTCCATCTTTATTCACAGTGTGAGTGAAAACACTGATCCTGGATCAGCTGATCACAGTTAGAACACATGTTGGTGTCACAGTGATCTGTGAGGTCAGAGGTCACACACACACACACACACGCACACACGCACACACACACACTCACCGATGGTGGAGATGAACGTGGTGTTGAACGCGTCCTCGCTGAACCGGAACAGGAGGCAGGTTTTACCGACGCCGCTGTCACCGATCAGCAGCAGTTTGAACAGATAATCGTACGTCTTCGCCATCCTCCCGCGTTGTCCCGCTGTTTCCGGTAACGGAGCCTCACAGTGTGCGGGCCTCTGCTCGACACCCGGCTCGGCTGATTCTGGTTCCGGGCTGGTCTGTGGTTCCGGGCTGGTCTGTGGTTCCGGGCTGGTCTCCACTGACACGGACCCAGGAGCAGGAAACGCTTCAAGCTGACAGGAATACACCCAGCACACATCCGGAGTGACACTTTCAAAATAAAACTGTACCGTGTAAGTCATATTAATAATAATAATAAATAACAGGTTTATTTAGGGACGGACCTGTCACAGAAATAAAAGTCACA